CTCTTTCTCTTGCACCAAGAGACAACCATGAAGCTCAGGTTCAATTTGCTCTGGAGCGTGGTATTCCTGCAATTCTCGGTGTTATTTCTACTCAGAGACTTCCATTCCCTTCAAACTCCTTTGATATGGCTCATTGCTCCAGATGCCTTATACCGTGGACAGAATTTGGTACCTTCTCCCATGCATTTTGAACTTTTAGCATCTAAAAAGAATTTATTCCTGTTTATGCAAGACGCCAATGATCCTCTTGACTTTTGAATTTCAAACTAGGTCCACATTTGTTTCAGACTGTAAATATCTCCCTAATCTTACTGCTTTGATGATTTGTTATTAGTTTTCTGCTAGTCTCTTTCTGCTTGGAGCTGAGATGTTGGCTTGAATCTAGATTCTCATTCTTTCTTACTGGCTATCTGATTTTAGGTGGAGTTTATCTCCTAGAAATACATCGAATTCTTCGTCCTGGAGGATTTTGGGTGTTGTCTGGTCCACCAATCAACTTTGAGCGCAGGTGGCGTGGATGGAACACAACCGTTGAAGCACAGAGATCAGACTATGAGAAGTTGCGGGAATTGCTGACTTCACTGTGCTTTAAAATGTACAAGAAAAAGGGTGACATTGCCGTATGGCAGAAGTCTCCAGATAACAATTGCTATAATAAACTACCTAGAGATACCTATCCACCTAAATGTGATGATAGCCTCGAACCAGATTCAGCATGGTATACTCCTCTTCGTGATTACATGGTGGTTCCAGATCCTAAGTTTAAGAAATCCGGTCTTTCATCCATTTCTAAGTGGCCTGAACGGTTGCATGTTACACCAGAACGGATCTCAATGATTTATCATGGCAGTGATAGTACTTTCAAACACGATGACAGTGAATGGAAAAAGAAGGTGGCGTACTACAAGAAGTTGATACCTGACCTTGGGACCGACAAAATTCGAAATGTAATGGACATGAATACCCTATATGGAGGTTTTGCTGCAGCCTTGATTGATGATCCTGTTTGGGTCATGAATGTAGTCTCATCTTATGCTTCCAATTCACTTCCTGTGGTTTTTGATCGAGGCCTTATTGGAACCATCCACGACTGGTATTTTTCCATATTGAATATGAAGCACGAGATTTTTGTTTTGAATATACTCTTCTTGTCTTGTAAGTTCTGATGTTGATTTCATTTTCTTATGTTAGGTGTGAGGCTTTTTCTACATATCCTCGAACATATGACCTACTCCATCTTGATGGTCTGTTCACAGCAGAAAGCCACAGGTGAGTATTCTTATGTTTATTTAAGTTGAAGTGTGTATATACATGACTTGATTTGGACTGCTCTGACAAAGATTGTTGCATGGCAGGTGTGAAATGAAGAATGTGTTGCTGGAAATGGATCGAATCTTGCGACCTTGGGGTTATGCAATCTTTCGGGAATCCAGTTATTTCACCGATGCTATCGAAACCCTTGGCAAGGGCATGCGTTGGGAATGCCGTAAAGAAAATACTGAGACTGGCAGTGACACTCAGAAGGTATTAGTATGCCAGAAAAAGCTATGGTATTCATCCAACCAGGGTTCAAGATGACAAACTATGGAACTTGAACCTCAGTAGAGTATAGTGGATAGAGGCAAAAGGGAAGCGATTTCGGAGATGAGACATATTCTATAATATAATGACCCAAGAATCATTGAAGTTCAACTTTGTCAAAAGATCAAGTGGTAACCCACTAATCTGATTTTGCTAATTTATAGAGAAGAATTTCCTATATACATAATTATGAATCAATTGCTTCCTTTTAAACACTCCCCAGCCCTTTCAAACAACAAGTGTTTTCCAAATGCTGCCATTGTGAAGGAATCAAACTCCACGGAAAGGACGATGATGTTTTTGTACAGATTGTTTAACGGAGAACAACACTGAACTTATATTAATGCTGAGCTTGATATAGTAATACTATGATTTTTTTCTCCACTGTTCGAAGATTGTGTTTATTGTGAGTTGGTATTTAAACTGTTACTTTGATTAACAAATATTTGGCTGTATTGTTTAAAGATGTTTATTGGGATGATCTTGATACCTCTCAGATTACTGATGCACGTGTCTTAAATTGCTCAAACAATGACAAACCTTAGACCGTTTCTATAGAATCAAGGACTGTTGACATTTTATCAAATACATGCAATGCGTATGAATTCATCATCAGAAATAAAGGAAGATTTTATTTGAATCGAAACAGAATGGGAAATAGCAACATAAAAGAGAGGTAAAGACAGATTATGTAATCGAGTTAATTCTTCACACTAATTCAAGATTAATTGTCATGTGTTAATTGGATATAAGTTGACAAATAGGTGAAATTTCTATTCTGCATAACTCAGAATTTTTAATGTATGAGGTTTAGTCATATAATTTTAATAATATACAAATTCTAACAGTTTGATACCTAGCCTTCAATTAATCATAAAGAAAACACGAAAAGACACAGGAGAGAAAATATAGATATAAAATTAGGAAGAAAAAAGAGCGAGTCTTCCTTAATCTCTGCACAGTGTATTTATAGCTGATTAATGATCCAACAATGGGTCTTATTTATAGGTCTTAGTTAAAGTAGGTGGTCATTATAGATGTTATAGCATTAATCTCTCAAAAATTCAACAAATCCACCTTCATTTCAAAAAGTTATAAAATGTAGTAGAAAATATCAACAAATGTTGACTCATAAATTTTCTTTTTCTGATTAGGTTTTTTTATAATTTTTTTTTCTAAATATTTTATCAACATATGGAATAATATGATTTAAATTTCATCCCTACAAAAATGAAAAATTCAATCTAAAGTTTACCAAAAACAAACTTTAATTTTAAGTATCAATAATTTTTAACAAATGAAATTTATTAGTGCCAACTCATAAATTATATATTTTTATAAGTAACATATAATAATTTAATAAATATTTAATTTTTAGTGTGAGACTAAATTGCTAGCTATTGTTTACTTGGAGATTCTTCTTAGGCATCAGAAAAAATTATAAGTAACATTATGAGCTATAAGACACTAAATTCATAAGAAATGAGAACTTAAATATTTTAAAATTACTTTCCACCACAACTAACTGTATTTTGAATAGGGTAAACATCTTATCTTACAACATCACATCCACTCACACCATCAAGTAATAATCAAATTGACTTTTTATTTTTCTAGAAGTGTTTATCAAGAAAATTGTATGATTTTTATTTTTTGAGAAGTTAATTTTTTGTAATAATTAAGTCTATGCATTTTAACTGCTTTTTATATTCAATGGAATTAAGATCTGTTTAAATGAATTTATTTTTCATAAGATTTAACATGTTTATTTAAAAGTTATCCGAAAATGATTCATAACATTATCGTTGACTCGATACGGTCGTCTATTGGTCAGTCCATGATGTTATCAACAGATAATTATTTTTATGACAAGAATAAAAAATAAATGAAATGTCTTTCTATTTTGAACAAATTTATAATTTTAGTACTGGATGAATTTGATATAAAGGAAGCTGTTTATAAACGGAAACACCCCAAAAGGTTAAAATATGAAAGAAAATCCCTGGTTCAAAAAAATCGTTTTTTCATTTTTGTTGATATAAATGAAAAAAAGGGTTTAGGATGGTCCAAGTTGAATTGAAATCAAACATGGGACGAAAACAGCAGAGATTTGGTAATATAATGACTGAGCTAGTTAGTCATGGCATTAGGAATCTGAGTGAGTTGTTCCATGGATTCCTCTCTCTTTCTTTTTGTTTACCTGTGTCGGATCTCTGTCCTCGTGTCTCTTTTGGATTCTTCCATTTTCATTCTTTATTGTCACGGATCTGATTTCTGCATGAGTTCTCCGGGTCTTTATATTTTTCGTTTTACAATCAGAAGGGCTTTAAGTAGTTTAAATTCTTACTGTTTATTGGACAAAATACATAATTATATGCCCTTTTTTTCTGAAATCTGAACTGAATCGGTGAAACTTGGATTAGAGGATTCTTTGGATTTATTCCTTTTCTGAAATGTTGCACTCACACAACTCTGTAGTGATGACAATTCTTCTTTTCAAACAAGGACAACGTACCAATTAGTTATTGTTATGTTGCTGTTATTTGGTGCCCTTTTCTTTTGTTTTCTTCCATGGCAACAGAGCATGGAGCAATATCTAGAGCTTTCTTTTAACTTATTGAATGGAAAGTGGGTGTTATGGTCCAGTGTTGTGTGAAATCATGATGGCAAGAGTGCGTGGAAAGTAGCTGCTGTGGTTGCTAAGCATTGACCAGCTGGAATTTAATCATAATCTCATTCTCTTTGCCAGTTTTTGGTTCCACAATGCCGAGCAATCATGGGAATTTGTGTATTCTTGCATTGCTCTGGTCGTGATATTGGTGTTTAAGTCTTTTTTATCTGAATATCAACATTGATAACCCGTTTACAGATTGCTGATTTCTGTTAATCCACTGTTCTTCTTTGACCTAAGTAGTTAAACTGGGATTGATAACCTTAGAGAAATTGTCTTTTTAGATTTGAGTGCATACTATATGACTTTTATGCTTGTTTGATTTCTGTAGCAGCTACGAAACCGATGTTATTTTCCCCCTTTTTCAGTATTTTAGCATCTTCTAGACTATTATTATTAGGGGCAAAACACATAAGTAATAGAACTTGATTTCTTGGCAGGTGGTTAGAGTGTGGCTCTTGAAACTCGTGAGTTCCTAGTGCCCTTTTTCTCATCAGTGATTGTCTATCTATGCTTGATAAATGTTGATAAGTGACTATTTTGATTGGGATATGAATTGATTTGTTGTTTTAAATTGTTGGGTTTATCATTCCTTAATATACGAGGGGGAGCATGTTCCCTGTTTGTGATGTTGAGTTTATCGTTTTTCTTCAGATAGTTGATTATTTCACAGACAATGAACAACAAAGATGGAATACCAGTCACCCAGCAGGAAAAGAGCACGATTGTCCCTATGACAATCATATTAGTGGTGCTATGTGGATTTTCTTTCTATACGGGTATAATCTTTTGTTCTGAGAAGGACAGATTTTTGTCAATATATGGCCAGATATCCATTGGGTCCCCCGAGGAGTTATCAATAAGTCCTCTGCAAATTAAATACATTAGTTTTCCAGAATGCAGTATTGACTTTCAAGATTATACTCCATGCACTGATCCAAGGGTAATGTTACTGATTGTAGTCCATTTTTTCGTGTTATAGGACTTGTAGAAGAAAGTTTTCTTATTGATTATGTATGCTTAAACTTATAGAGATGGAAGAAGTACATCTCCCGTCAGCCTACTTTGTTGGAACGCCATTGCCCTCCAAAATCTGAGAGGAAAGAATGCTTAGTTCCTCCCCCAGATGGGTATAAGCCTCCAATTAGATGGCCTAAGAGCAGAGATGAATGTTGGTACAGGTATAATGTCTTTTAGGTTAACAATAAAAGCTTTGCTTAATTGAAAATTCCTTTAATAGATATTCTGCCACTCCTTCAAGCTGTTTTGTGTGATGTCTAATTACAGCAATGTTCCAAATGAGTGGATTAACAAGCAGAAGTCCAATCAGCATTGGTTGAGAAAGGAAGGCGAGAAATTCATCTTTCCTGGTGGGGGAACTATGTTCCCCAACGGTGTTGGCAAATATGTTGATTTAATGCAAGATATGATCCCAGAAATGAAAGATGGGACCATTCGAACTGCCATTGATACTGGCTGTGGGGTGTGTTTCAGCCTTTTTTTTTTGTATATGGGGGGGTGGCTTGCTTATAAGAATTCTCGAAGTTCCTTTGATTCTAGTTTAATTGCACATGCTGATTTGTTATGCTTTTTGAACTACTGTATGAATATATTTTGAAATCAATATTTTTTGTATCCTAAAACAGAAAGAACCAATTAATTTCATTATGGCTGTAAAACAGCTATTAAGATTGTTTAAAGTAGAAGCACAGGAGAGGAATGGGGGATTAAAACATTTTGGTTTATTCTTCACTGGCATCACTGTTATTGTATCATCCTGATACAAACTTGGGTTTTGGAAAGTGCCAGTGTTGTAATTCCTATTTCTTGACTCTACTTCTGATCCAGTCCCATTACTCAGAAATGTATAGGCATGAGTTAAATCAATTAAACCACCTAACTCAATTTATATTATATTAGGTTGCTAGCTGGGGTGGTAACTTGTTGGATCGTGGGATTCTAACTGTCTCCCTTGCACCAAGAGATAACCATCGAGCTCAGATTCAATTTGCTCTAGAGCGTGGTATCCCTGCAGTTCTTGGTGTCATTTCTACACAGAGGCTTCCATTCCCATCAAACTCCTTTGATATGGCTCATTGCTCCAGATGTCTAATCCCATGGACAGAATTTGGTACTTCTTTCTGTAGATTTTGAACTTTAAAATTTATTCCTTTTTATGCAACTCTTGTGATCATGAACTTCAGTAATTATGTTAGGATATAATTGTAGTTTTGAGCTTTGGCTCTTTGTGAAGGGGAAACCCTTGGAGGAGAGAGTGCTCTCCTATTCTTGTGTTCTATACAATCTATACAATAAAGAATATTACTCTTTTGTCTCTTTTCAATTCTGGGTTCCTATCAATTACCAGTTTGTAGCTGCCTAAATTTTGGATTGAATGCATCTGTTGAGAATACATTCAGTGCTTTCGTACCATGCTGGCATATAGTTTTCAATGAGCACCTGAATTTTAAGATCTTAATCTGACACATTTTACTACTTTGCTTTTACTACTTTCTGTGACTATTTTTGTTTGTTTTGCCCATCTTAACAATTGTGTCTATCAATTTTATAAAATGGTCAATAGAATGCACTAAAACTAGGAGGCCCTACATTTATTTCAAGCTGTCAAATTCACTCTGATCTTACTGTTTTGATGATTTTTTTTTAATTTCTTCTAATCTCTCTCTTCTTATAGCTGAGAAGTTCACTCTAAATTCTAGTTCTTTATGATGGCTATCTGATCTTAGGTGGTGCTTATCTCCTTGAAATACACCGGATTGTTCGTCCGGGAGGATTTTGGGTCTTGTCTGGCCCACCAATAAATTACAAGCGCAGGTGGCGTGGATGGAACACAACTATTGAAGCACAAATATCAGATTATGAGAAGTTGAAGGAATTGCTAACCTCAATGTGTTTCAAAATGTTCAAGGAAAAGGGTGACATTGCTGTATGGCAGAAGTCCGAAGATAACAATTGTTATAATAAGGTGGTTAGAGATGCCGATCCACATACCTGTGATGACGGCCTTGAACCAGATTCAGCATGGTACACTCCAAGTCGTGCCTGTATTGTGGTTCCAGATCCCAAGTTTAAGAAATTAGGCCTCTCGTCCATTGCTAAGTGGCCTGAACGGTTGCAAGTTCCACCAGAACGGATTTCAATGGTTCATCGTGGGAGTGCTAAAGTTTTCAGAAAAGATAACAGTAAATGGGAAAAACAGACTTTGTACTACAAGAAGTTGATCCCCGACCTTGGGACAGACAAGATAAGGAATGTTATGGACATGAACACAGCATATGGAGGTTTTGCTACAGCCTTGATCAATGATCCTGTATGGGTCATGAACGTGGTCTCATCTTATGCTACCAATACACTCCCTGTGATTTTTGATCGAGGGCTTATTGGAACCTTCCATGACTGGTAATTTGCAAATGTTTGATATGAACCATAATTCTTTATTTATTTACTAACATGCTTGGCTTGTTAAACTAATGTTCATTCCATTCTTCAATGGTAGGTGTGAAGCTTTTTCAACATATCCTCGAACATACGATCTGCTTCACCTTGATGGACTCTTCACTGCAGAAAGCCAAAGGTGAGTGTGCCATATGTTTCTATGAATAACAGCCATGGTGCAGTTTCTAATACAACACAACTGCTAATGCAGGATGAGTTATTTTCTATTAATAACCGACTCCAATCTATAAACGGATCCTTTTGTAACCCACTTGACAAGATTTTGTTCACTGCTATATGACTTGCAGAATGTATATATTTGACAATGATCGTTCTGTTGCAGGTGTGAAATGAAATATGTGTTGCTGGAAATGGATAGAATCTTACGACCTAATGGGTATGCAATTATTCGTGAATCCATTTACTTTACGGATGCTATCGCAACCATTGGTAAGGGTATGCGTTGGGAGTGTCATAAAGAAGATACTGAGAATGGCAGTAACACTCAGAAGATATTACTATGCCAGAAAAAGCTATGGTTTTCATCTAACCTCGGTTCAAGATGACAAATTATGAATACAATATTTTGTTTCTAAAAAATTAACAGTTCAGTTTTTGTCATCTTCAAATTTTAAGTTTAGTCTCTACAAAACTGGAATGTTGATTTTAGTGTTCGTAAGTTATGTCAAACTGTACAATGGTTTTTCATTGGAGAAAATTGTACTTAGTCTGGTAGGACCCCTTTGAGTAATATATTATATAACTTCATTTTTTCAACTCACTTGTCAAGTGAGTAAAATTCCCTAGACTAACAAATTATATAATTTTCATCCTCAATCTAGTAAAACTCTATAAGTTTCCATTAATAAAAAATCTGTAGAAAACTCATTATATTATTAGTTTTTGGAAATATAAGTAGTCATTTAGTAATAATAACAAGAACTAACATGACCGTTACTCGGTAATTTTATCCTTGAACTTTTAAGAATTAATTTAGTTTATTGCTTGTATGAATTTGTTTTTGAAATATGTTATAACTGTACTTTTAATAATTAACTTAGTTCATTGCTTGTTCAAAAAAAAAGTTATTCATTTATAATAATTTATAAATGTGATAACAGCATTTAAAATAAAGGTTAGTAAATAATAATAAAAATATTTAATATATTTTTTAACATGAGTTTAATTTTGATACGTAATATTTTATATTAATTAATTAAAAAATTCCTAAATGTGATTTTTCAAGCCATTATTATTATACAAATAAAAAATCTCATAACTTATAAAAATCGATTCGCGGATAATAACTTATAAATGATTCTCAAATTTAGTTATAAAAAGAATAATCTTCGCATTTTTCCTAGATAAATATTTATGGTATAAATTGATAAAAAAATGTAACTTTTTTAAATTATCGTTACAAAATTCATCAATTTTTTTTACATGTTCTTAAAAGTAACCGCCTCTTATTTATTTATGTCGTTATTTGAAAGGTTGGCGACATGCTAGTTCGGAGCGGCGTGACAATTTTCTTTGCTCCGTCGTTAGGGTTTTTAGAGTTTCCCAAAACAAGTTGGTAGAGTTCGTTCATTGAGAGCAAAACAATGATCGACTTGTTGTTGAAAAAGCCCAATTGGAACGACGTCGTAGACGACGACGATTCAACTCGATCCAAATTGTGTCTTTTGAACGACTTGGAAACCGTTATTTGGTCCGCGGTGGGTCGCGCCGAAGCGCGTTTATGGCTCTGCAACACGGTCGCGGGTTTCAACTGCGTGACTTTCGTCGATCAGCGTGACCTGTTTCGGGCTTTGCTAAGAACACGACGGACGAAGCGCGATTTGGCGTCTCAGCTTCTGCATTTCATGGTTGACACTTCGCCGCACAAACTTGGTTCCGTTTTGGCTCGGAGGTGTCACGTTCTTGAGAAGTTTTTTCAAGGTTAGTCCGTTTGCACATTCTTTGCTCTTTTAAAGTGTTGTTGGGAGTAGTTACTGAAGTTGCTGTTAATTGGGAACAAAAGCTCTGAATTTTGGTTGTGTTGCAATTTGTACGGACTCTTAAAGACTGCAATTTTTGGTTGTATTGAGGCCACGGTTGGTGGTCTCAATTTCAAAGCTTTTTTAAATTATGATCATGTTCTCGTTGCAATGATGTCATAGGAAACTGTGGACATACTGGTGAATTGCTGTCGGAATGCTGTAACAGTGACTTCAAAAACCTGGACATTGGGGTTGAAATTGTGGTCAAGGATTGTTTTTTGAAATACGTATTCATATCCAATACTTTAGGATAATATTTATTAATAAAGTATCTAATATATAAATCATATAAGAATTTTCATACATTTTTCAATATGCATATATTAAGAGGTTAGGGTTTATTCTATTATTATATTATCGGTGTATCATAAATGTGTCATATCTTAGGATGTGCCAGGGGTGAAAACAATGCATTTTATGATCAAGTAGATATAGAAACTTGAAGGATTGGAAAAACTAAAAGTGATGAAGAATGCATATACTATAAATTGGGTCTTTCTCCTTTCTTATACTCTTTTGTTTATAGCGATATCTTGTTGCTCTCTGATTGAAACAGTGTAACATTTGTGGATTTAACCTTGTCTTTTTTTAGTGGTTTCTGGTTGAACTTTATATATATGTGATGGGTGCTCTAGTATTCATTAAATCGAACTTACTATGATTTGTGAGTTTTTCATGATAGCAAAACAAGTGTGTGGATCAGTTCTTTCTTTGATTGTATAACTTGTGTATGGGATGCAGGTAATCCAAAGCGAGTATTGCAGTGGTTTTCCTGCTCTTCCTCTAGTGGTGGACTAGAGCAGGGAAAAGGTTTTAGGGCACTGTCCCAGTTTGCATTTAAAAATAGAGATATTTGTTGGGAGGAGCTGGAGTGGAAAGGAAAGCATGGGCAGTCGCCAGCAGTGGTTGCTACTAAGCCCCATTATTTTCTAGATTTGGATATTCTCCAAACTGTAGAAAACTTTCTAGAACATGTACCTGAGTTTTGGTCATCTGATGAGTTTGCTGAGTCAGTGAAGGATGGTGATATTTTTTTTATTGATAGGTCCTTCTTTGTGAAATATTTCATTGATTTAATGTATAAGGAGGAATTTAAAGATATATGGGATGTTGTAAATGAATTTCTCGGGCAGCAGCCCTTCTCCTCTCTGTGTGGACGTCTTCTTATTGCTCTTGAAGATCAAGACTTATGCTACCTTGTGGAATCACTTTGTAAATCTCTTGGCCCTAGAATGGATCTTCAACATTCCAATGACATCTCTAATTTGTTTGTGATTTTAGTTTTTAAATGTGGTGCTTATGGATCTATTGACCAGTTACTGCTGCTAAATGCTGTCACTGCACAGGCGAGGCAGCTTCTACGCCTTTTACGTGATGAAGAGGCTTGGGAACCACATGAAAAAATCAATGAAATTGTGTCAAAGATGTCTGCAATCCCAAGCAATCCTAATATCTTGACAACAATCTTCAAGAACAAATATAAGATGAAAACTATAGAAGTGATAAAGTATCTGGGACTTCTGTCATGGCTTATTTACTATAGACTGTCACGAGAATGCCAGAACCCCGACTCTTGGGAGTCTTTGTTCGTGAATAATCAAATTAGTTTTCGTAACTCTGATAAAAATGCATTGCAAGAACCATTAGAAGAAGATTGTTCTGGTTTTGATAGCAGTTTGTCAGTTAGAGTAAAAACTAGAAGAAAAAAGAAGGCTAGAAAGAAGAGGAGGACCTGTTATCGCGATGAAGATGGTGATGATGATGAATTGCTTGATTATGATTCTGCTAGCCAGAAGCTAGTTTCTCTGTCAAATACTAGAAGTTGGTTGCTTTCAACTGATGGGTACTCTTCAGGATTGAGCAGTGTAAGTTCCATAATCCATATATTTAAACAAATTTTTTGGCTTATAAACGTTAGTGGGTGGAATCATATTTGCAACATTTTGGGTGAAAGATGTTGGATTTTTATCAAAATGGTTCTGCCAGTAGATGAGATTGAAGTTACTAAAAAAAACGAGATTCTCCTAAGTAGAATTTGAAGCAGTGATTTTGGACATAGAATAGCATGGTTACATTCAAATTAAAAATGTCTGGTATTTGTTTTGGTTGTTAAAATTGCTGAATATCTTGATTGAATTTTAATCTGATTCAAGGAAGCACTGGCATTTCAAAATAATAACCATATTGTGGTGTACATGTGTTTTACTTCTTGAACACATTGAATACTCCTATCTTCATTTTATAATTTTATTTTATTTTTGCTTTTTTGTCTTTTAGGCTTCTGTATCAATACAGATGGAAATATCACAGACTCGCTGTAATAATTCGATAAACATGTATAATGACTTGTTCGTTTTCAAAATGTCATTTCTCTTTTTCATTTTAAGCCGTGTTTTATATTAATTTTAACACATTCTGTCATAACCATGTCTTTGAATTTTGATAATTTACCGTATTTCTATGTTTGTGTAGTACCTTAATTATGACCCTTGTCTAGTTTTTCAGTTCTTTCTAGTTTATATGAATAGATCAATTTGTCTCTTCTGAATATGATTAGCCTTGACTTTAATTAGCAATTGCTATAGATATTTTGTTTATTACTTTTAAAATATGTTTGATTCAAGTATTTTATTCATGTTTTTATTATCAATGCTCAAATATCATATTTGAACTGAATATGCCCCTCTCCATCCAACGTGGTTCGTTGTATAATATTTATTGTTCTAATTTTTAAATCATGTCACCTTTTATAGAAGTATATGTAGGAAAATCTATTGTTCTTGATTAAGATGAAATAAAGTTACACTCTACTGTTAAACTGATTTTGTAATGTATTATTTTTCTAGGCAGATTTACCAGAGTACCTTCATAAACAGTGCTTGTCTAAGTGGATGACATGGCTGTAAGGAAATGAGGTCCTGGTCCCCACCAAAGAGACATGCTATCATCGTCTCCAAACTGTTGAATAGCAAGATCATTCATTCATCCCTCATCTTCATGTTTAAGCATGGTTTTCCAACACACACTGGACTTGCTAGGAATGGGAAATATCTGAAACGTAAACATGAAAAGCCAGCCTGATAACTTCCTAAAAGGCATTAAACTTGGAGTTCATTGTGAAGAACTGGAATGGAAGCGATAAAAAGCTGTGCTCATAAACTGCTACCATCGTACATGATTGGCAACATGAGCAGTCAACAATATGGTCTGAATTTTTCTATCACAACAATGTTGCCAGGATCATCCAGATTGCTATGAAGGTCATGCTCGGGCTAGTTATGATACTCGAGCTCCATCATCACTTCTGTGGCGGCATATTATATCTGTTAGTATTTTATGTAGCGTAGCACTCCTTATTTTTTGATAAATGGAAGCGGATGCATGCACGTTGTTTGAAGTTGATTTCTTGTGCTAATTTTTACTTTTCAAGCTAGGCAAGGAAAAAACTCAAGGATACTTACTATTTCGGAATGTAAATTTTATACTTTGAAATATACAGTTCAAAATGTATTTTTTATTTTATATTCCAAAGTATGAAATCTGAAATATAATTTTTATTTTATATTTTGGATTTGGATTTTTCTACTATGTATGTTGAAAAAATCTTGGGAATATTTGATTTGTTTAGTAAAAGTGATTTTGATAAAGTCCAAGGAAGTGTTTGATATTTCTCGGGGATGGTTGAAAGATTAGAGAATAATGGTTTTTGTTGTTTGAAATACTTTGTATACATGTTGTGCATTTAATCGTATAAAAAATAATACTTTTTACGCCGGTTTTGGAATCTTATATTATATTTTGTATACGGTTTTGGAATCGTATAAAAGATATGAAGCTTGTGATTAGCCATTCCAAAATGCGTCGATATTATATTATATTATAATAAAAGGCATGATCCGAAATAAGCCTCTTCAAACCCTCAAAGCACAGAATAAACTCCTTAATTGACACGTTGCAGATAAACCCCACCCCAAACTCAACATCTCCACCATTATAAAACAGCAAATCGTGCAAAATTAAATAGGTTCAAAACCAAGAAAGAAAATAAATCAAATTGATCATTAAACACACAGATTTACAATCATTAAGATATTGCAAACCAGAATTAACGATTAAAAAGGTTATACAACTCCATTCACTAATTTTCCAACTTCCTAATTCAAAACTTCCTCATTCCATCAACCAGCTACATTAACCCTTAGTCAAATTGGATCAAAATCACCTCTGCAACATTAATCAGAAATCCACTATGAACCCAATTTGATAGTCAAAGGCGAGCACAAAATTCATTCGAAACAATAATAAAATCTGGATAGAGGTAAGCAATTGGAGTTGGAATTATTCCAAGCAAGAACTGAATCATCACCAATCTATAGCAAGAAAATGACCCTCTACATTCGAATGAGGTAAGCATCCCTGGTACCACAAAAAAAAAAAAAAAAGGCAAGTTAGAAGAACAATCATTCACCCACTGCCTCAACCACATAGAACAAACACTGCCTTTTTCCCACACCAATTCCATTTTCTTCTCATTTTTCAATCATCTCTTCACCTTCAATTACAACAAACAACCACTAATCAGAACAATACTCCAAAATCCCAAACCAGTTTTGAAAGAGACTCTGATTAGAGGCATCTCCGGTGGTGGGTGATGTCGACGGTAGTGGCGCGACGTGAAGCTGCCAGCGGTGTTGGCCATGGAAGGCCCTGTGATGAAGGAGAGGAAAGAACCCACGCGATCTGGCGGAACAGAAAACGAAGGCGGCCGACGTCGGTGGTACCCAGTCACGGCGTCACGACGGCGACGACTCCGCGACTTGCAGCCATGAGATCTAGTCTTGGGGTGAAGAACCTTGATGGAGATGTGGGAGGAGATCTGAAAATGGGAGAGTAAGGGAAACCTCACGCGTGAAGAACACGAAGAGTGGAGGAGTGACTGGTGCCGGCGAAGCTCCGACCGCGACCGGCGACCGGCGACAGGCGGCGAGACCCATGGCCTGACTAGATGAAGAACGCGCGGTGGTTGGCCATGGCGTTACCTGGCTTTCTTCAACATTGCGCCAAACCCCACAAATCATCGCTTGGATTTCGTCGCATATCAACTGAAACTCTCAAATCCTTCTTCATGTATAGTAATCACCTTCAAACAAACACGTCCTAAGAATGTAATAGAAAGTTGGTACAAATGAATAAAAATTAACAAATCAAATTCTAATATGATCAAAATTAATATACTAAAAAAAACCTATTAAAATATTATAAATAAGACAACATTCATAACTAGTGACAGAACCAGTAAAATCCAAGCACATGTCGTTAGTGAAATTCACGTGTCAAGAGGGAGGCTCGACACTCAGATGACGAACGTCAGGTGTCCAGCGAAGGGGATCCGGGAATGAGTCAGTGGAAAACAGGTGTCGACAGATGAGGGGACGTCCGTTTTGAAGTGTGAAGCAAATCTTGGATTTTCAGAAAATCTACCACACTCTCTGCATGCACCCTCTTTTTAGATTTCTGAAGAATCCCATTCTCTCCTCCTTCTCTCTACATCCTCTTCATCTTCTCTTTGAGAAAACACTCACTTTCTTTCCTCAGATCACTATTCCGGCACCGTAGAAGCACTTCCGGCGTCAAGAGCTTCCAGATAAACCGTTCGGTTTGTGAAGTTGGGCTGGTAAGTCTTTCTCTTCACTCTGTCGTTCGTTTTCCTAAACATGCAAACCCAGTTCTGGGTTCGTGTGTTGATCAACATTCTTAAAATGAGAGGTTCTGATAGTGTCGGGTTGTCACTTGGTGTAGTTTGAATTGTCGAGCGTTGGAAGTAGAAGAATCTGAAGTGGTGAAATTGTATTTCTGCATCTGGAACGTACGTTCACGCTCAGAGGTAAGGGAAGCTTATTTAATTTAATTTGTATGTTGTTGTACTGTATGAATGTTCATTAGTTGACTGAATGATTTTGATGCATGATGGTTGATATGATTGGATTGAATGAACGTTTGTTTATTTAATGAGTGAAAATGAAATATGGCTGAGTTATGTTATAATGTATGAAATATATGAAACTTATATGATATGAATTGTATGAAGTATGAAAGTCGATTATAATATGAATGTATAAAGTTATGAAACTATAGGTTAAGAAATGAGACAGATATAAATAAATTCTGAATATGAAATTTCTCATATGAAAGTGTACGTTCGTTATTGAACGGTCATTGACCGTTCGGTTCTTCTGGTAAACATAGTTGAAATGAGATTCTTTCATTTGGAGGGAATCCTAGTTGAGGACGAGCGTCCTCGTGTGATAATACTATGCTTGAGCGTTCGGCCAAGCACAGTTGTATCTGGGTATCATGTGATAAACTAATTTTTTTATATATATGTAATGGTATATTTTCGTTGTTCGTAAACACTACTTCGATAGTATCTTATTATATTTATTAAGCCCTTTTATTATAAGTTTATTAGTGTTCGGTCTTATACCAAGCGCTCGTACTGAGTAGTGCTTGGTCTTACACCAAGCGCTCGTGCTCGTTTCTTATATAATCTATCTTGATGAAACATAGCGTTCGTCTAACTACAATAGAATTTTCTTCTTTACCGTGCTCGGTCATTGACTGACATTCGGATTTCTTGATGTAAATTCAAATAAGCTAAATATTCTTAAGCGTTCGGTTTCTTCAGGTGAATCCTTCTAAGTATTCTTCTCTGAAAGTCTTGAAGAGTATACGTCCATTTGGTTACGGCTTAGAGCTTTAGTATTTGGCCTAGATCTTTCTGCGTTCGGTTAGAACTCTCAAGGGTCAGTTCATCTAATTGACTCACTTTGTAAGTAACGTCCGTTCTAGTCATTCTTGCGATATGCAGTTGACCTCGGTTTCATTCGTAATCCGATAGTAACCCTCTCGGTCTTATTCTATTCTGGAACTGGAGACCTCTATGTCACGTTCCAAGTGTTAGTCCTCGTTCTGAGTGAGGATTGAACGTTCCGTATCTGGTGTCTTTATAAATCTTTGAACAAAGAGGAAACTGAAATGATTGATAATGAAATATGAAACTAAGATGATTGATAATGGAAGATGAGTAGAATATGATATGAATGAAATATGTTGGAATTATGAACGAGCGTTCCGGGGAGGAACGACTCATATTTGAATATTGAATTTGTAAAGTATGACTGTGGGAAGCTAATGCTGGCGGTTCATCCTGATGATCCGTGAGTACTCGTCCTCATGTAGAGGAGGGTAGGTCATGTATGGGAACGACAGGAGGTTCTAGTCCTTAGGGGTACTTTGGACAAATAGGACTAACCTCGGGTGGCAGCTGATGAGAGTATTCCAGTTACTACATCACTCGGGTGCACGAACGTCTGTAGCTACACATATTTCGTACAGTCCGGACAGTTAGTCTAGTGATAGGCTTTGTATGATATGTACGTTGAAATTTATTTGGTATTGAATTATTTGAAATGTATGTTTATGCATGAATTAAATTATATAAGCTTACCCTGCGTTTCCTGTCGTGTCTGGTTTTGTACGTCCGTCCTTGTCATTGCAATGATCATCCGTGTGGATGTGAGCAGAAGGAGACGAGCTGCTGGAAGAGGCGCTGGAAGAAGAAAATTTGGAAGAAATCGAAGTCAAGACCGAAGAGTAGGACGTTCGGTCAATAGTCTAGTTATAGTAAGGTGGTCGTTCGATCACCTTCACTTTTGTTAAGAATAGACAATAAAAAATTTTCTTATGTAAACCGTTAGGTCAGGTTTGCTTATCTTGTACGGTTTAAATTTGTAACTCATACTGTAAGGTCGTTCGGCAATGAGCGTACGCTCGACTCTAGTGTATGACTGATCTGGATTATTATTAATGTGATTATTCTATTATATAAATTATTGCTGTATTTTTGGATGTTACAACTAGTATATTATTATATTTAGGGTTAAATATGTTTTTGGTCCCTTAACTTTCAGTGAAAATTGGAATTAGTCCCTCTTTAAAACTTTGGACTAATTTAGTCCCCAAACTTTAGAAATGTGTGAATTTAGTCCTTTTAACCAAATTTTGTTAACTTTATTTGATGTTTCAAACACATTTATCAGTGAACATTGAAGCAAAAATGTGTCAAACGGGATAAACAACTCGAATGCTATCATGAAACGCACTTAAAACATCAAATAAACCTAACAAAATTTAGTTAAAAGGACTAAATTCATACATTTTTAAAGTTTAGGGACTAAATTAGGCCAAAGTTTTGAAGAGGGACTAATTTCAATTTTCGCTGAAAGTTAAGGGATCAAAAACATATTTAACCCTTATATTTATTACACAATTATTAATTTATGTATTTGTACACACTTTATCTCCTCTTGATACGGATGATCTAAAAGTTACATCTTAATAATTATTGTAAAAACT